TCCTCCTCCTCCTCCTCCTCCTCTCCCTCCTGCTTCTCCTTCATACTTCCTCTTCATCCTCCTCTTCTTTCTCGTCTTGTTCCATCTTCTTTCTTCCTTCTTTCTTCCTTTTCTCCTACTCCTCCTTCCTCCTTCCTCCTTCCTCCTTCCTCCTCCCTCTCCCTTCCTCCTGCTTCCTCGTCTTCCTGTTCTTCCTCTTCTTTTTCCTCTCCTCACGTCTCTGCCGCTTTCCTCTCCCAACTCTTTTTAGTTGTGTTGCGGTTCACATTCTAGTCTAAATCTTCAGTTGTTTGCATTAGGAATGAACTTGAATCACATGATATAAGACTATTATGCAGAAAAACATTTGTTATATGATTGTTGTACTTGTATTTTCTAGAACAATTCAATCAACTCAAGTTGCAACTGCACCAATTCCATGGCAGCACTGCCCTCCAGATTGACTACATGCATTGAGAAAGTCTTGAACACTGAAGGAATGCGCGGTCTGAGATATTGATGGTCATCAAACCATGGGGAGCATTTTGTCATGTAAACGTCTGCCGACGTCCTCCGGTGGCGCTGATGCTGCTTTTCTTCCTGCTCTTTTTTGTTTGTTAAACTTTTGTTGTTTGGTTATTTGTTTGTCTTTCCCCCGTCTGTCCTCTTTTCCCTTCTTCCAAGACGAATTCTGCATCTGTTCTCTTTTTCTTTCGTCCAAGATGAATTCTCTAGAACTTCCCTTTCTGACAAGGATTCTATTGTTTTTAAAAGGGGTCTTTACCTGTTTCAGGCCTTGTAAACGTAATGCAGCGTGAAGGGGTATCTCGCCAGGACTCAGGAAACGTGAAAACAGATCAAAGGTCAAGTTCTCTGGTCAAAGGGCACATCTAAAACTAAAGCAAGAAGTCAGTGCCAAAGGTCATTGCCGAAGGACATACCTGTTCACCAGGGGATGCACATGTCATGTCTGTTCAGATAGGGATGTGTTGCATACCGTATAGGTGCAGACCAGAACAAGAACCGACCTTTCAATACAAGGTATAAGATAGCACAGCGGAAGACTTAGATACCAGTGATCCGAACAATCAATATTGTAATGCAGCCCCGAACATACATCATCATCATCATGGTGCGAAGGGGTCTGGCACTTCACACAAGAAAGACTGCGCCAGCCCCAACCATACACAGACGAAGGAGGTGGGATTAGACGAAGAAGAAGGGAAGATGGGAATGTCGTCAACACCAAGTGTTCAGCACAGGCCCAAATAGTCCCTCGTCAAAATGTCTGAATCCCAATGTCGAGTTTGGATCCAATGTCGTCAAGTCTCATGTCACAACTCTCTCTCTGTAGTAGTCCGCTGATACTGAGAAGCAGGTGGTGAGAGGGGAAGAAAAGATGGTGGACTGAGAAGAAGAGGAAGAAGAACTCTCTCTCTCTCTCTCTCTCTCTAGTACTAACCTGTGAAGTTGGCGCCTTGATGCAGGTACCTCGAAGATGGAGCTGGAGCGATGGCGCCACAGGTACGTACCACTGGCCTCCGCCAGTGTCTCTCCCCACTCTACTACCTACCACCTACAGCGCCCAGCGCTGAAGACTACTGCTATGGCTATGGCGCCCAGCGCCGAAGACTACAGCTAGCGCTACTACTACTGCCTAGCGCTGAAGAGTACTGCATCGCTCCTCCTGAGTGCTGCGGCCGAAATCTGAAGACTACCGTCCTACTCTCCAACTGCCTACCCATTCAGTGCCTGAAGCTCCTATGTACTATCACGGGTGCCTCCTGACTCGGGCGAGCAGTCCAGGAGGCTGCTCTTGCCAATAATGCCGAAGGGAGGCAGGGGCTGCAGCTGCAGCTCCTGCTCGTGCTCTTGCCAATAATGCCAA